ACGAGATAAACATGCAATTGTAAATATGTTCCCATCATAAGAAAAGAATCCTCCAAATTATAATCATTTCAACATACGTGTAGTGAAAAATTTTTACCTTCTTTCTTGGCTTTGGAATGGTAACTTCTACAACATTGCTTTGTTTGTTTTGTTTTGTTTTGTTTCTCTATCTTGGCTCCCAATTTCTACCTGGACAACAGATTCTACTAAATTGCTCCTCCACTGAATCATTTTCAGTCAATTTTTCTTCATGCATTGTTACATCAGCTATGTTAGTTCTTGTTTTCATCCCCAGTCTGTGATTACTATAATATACTCTCTAGCTTTAGCATAGCATTTGCTACATGGGGGCTGAGGGGAGAAATTTACTATACCTGGTCGAATCCATTGAATACACTGGTAGAGGACAGGTGGCCTCCATGATAACAACCTTCCGGTATTTACACTTCGTGTAATCCTTCACCTAGAATGTGGGTGGGACCTGTTGACTTAATTCTAACTAATAGAATATCACAAGAGTTTCACCATGTCATGTTTGTAATTTGTTACATAGATTGTAATGCCCATCTTGCTTGAAAACTCCTTTCCTTGCTAACTTGGATAAAACAAGTAATCATATTGGGAAGATCCACACGACAAGGGACTAAAGGCAGCCTCCAGTCAACAGTCAGCAAGAAGCTGAGGTTGTTAGTCCAGTAGCCACAAGGAACTTATAGTACCAACAATCATGCCAATTGGAAGCAAATCCATCCTCAATCAATCTTCAGATGGGATCACAACCCTAATCAATACTCAAATGAATCTTTATGAAACCCTCAAGCAGAAGACCTGGCTAAGTCATGCCCAGGTTCCTAACTCACAGAAACTGTGATACAATAAATGCGTGCTGCTTTAAGTCTCTATAGTTTTACTAATATTGTTATATGTAATAGATAACTCATACAATATCGATAGCTTCATATTTTATTTTGAGTTGCTCCTGAAGCAGGTCTGACTTGTTAAGTTGCTAGAAATGGTCATATTTTGTCATATAAACTTCATTTAATAAACTGTCAATGGCTTGTTCTTGTCCATGGGTTTAAATCTAAATTACACAGCAACTTAATCTAAAATACAAGGTTTTCCACCAGCTAGCCCAACCTGCTTCCTATGTACTTAGTCTCATCTCTTTATTTTTTCCACTCAACTGTTTGGCCAAGCCACTTTATCTACATTTCCCACAATAATCCTTTGCTAATAAGAGTAAATCATCACCTTCAAATTTTAAATATCTTACTATTACTAGCTTTATGTGTTTAAGATTTCCAGTTTCATTGACTGCATACATATGTGATGGAATGCAGGAATAAAAGTTTCAAGGTGTGTTATGAATTTATGAGTAACATCAAAACAAAGACCTTCCCTCTACTTTTGGCTTATCATTTTTAAAACAAGAAAAAACATAACCTATTTTAAAAGGTATAGCAATTGTGCTGGGATGTAGGACTTTAAATTCGCCATAAAGATTTTCCCCAGAGCAATACTTATATTGAGAGGATGACTCAAGTACAAGTTGAATGGTACTTACCCTTAAATTCTTAATTTGCAGTGTCCCTTGCTCTTGTATAGTCGCTCTTGGATCTCTACCCAGAAAAGTAAATCCCTCCTTTAACCAGCTAATTACAGGAAGAGGATCACCAGTGGCTTTGCATTTTAGTAATGCTGTACCATCTACTGCTAGTGTTTGATTGGCTGGTCCTTGCAGAATTATGGGTGGAGGTCTATCTGTCAAAACTAAAAAATAAAGATATTTTCAGGATATTTTAACTTCTATGAAATCCAGTAGTCTTGATATATTGTCATTGAAAGTAAGGTTAAAACTCCAAAGTAATACTTATAACTTATTCTGGATATATTAAATCTATCATATATTTGTCATCTATACATACTATTCATATATCCATATATACTAAAGCCATACTATTGTTGATAACTTACTTTGCATTAATTATATTTAAAATGATGTTGGCATAAATTCTGACATTTTAGAATTTAGTTTTTAATTGTATTGATAAGCTCAG